TTAGTTGCCATGGTGATCACATGATCTTGGATCATGTGATCACTATGATCCTATTACCCTAATAGTTTCTTGCACTTGAAGCTGCATTCACACTTGAGCGTTTTGTAGCTTGAAGCTTGACACTCTAAGCTTGAAGCTCCAAAAAAGCTCAAACTTAAAAAATGATTAGTTGTTCTCTATAGTGCCTGTTCACACCTGATCAGGCACCATAGAGAACAATTGATTTTTTATGTTTGAGCGTTTTTGGAGCTTTGGGCTTCGAGCTACAAGCTTCAAGCTACAAAATGCTCAAGAGTGAATTCAGCCTTAGTGGGAGAACAGTGCCATCAGCATCAGCACAGTATGGTCTAAAAACTAAGAGCACGTACTGATATGTAAATTAATATTCTCTCAGCACAAGACCCCACTGATTGAGACCATTAATCTGTAGAGTTCAGTTGATAATGGGCTTAGCATTCATTTATTTTATATTTCCATAAATGTTAAAGGACTAAGAACCCAATGCAATGGCATAACTTTAGAAGGCAGTATCATGAACTTTGCTCTGTAACCTTGATAAGTTTAAAAAGCCGACAGGTAAATGTTAACATCAGCATTCACGTATAACAAAAAATACCAGCTTTGAGTGGTCATCATTCTAATCTAATAGGATCATTAATAAACCTACATATTAAATCTTCATACATACTTCATCAAATTATATCTCCTGCATTCTGCATTCTGACTGCCACAGCAAACATTTACAAAACAATTTCTTGGCCTTATATTCTGTACAGTGCTTTTGTTTTTTCTTAACTTTTTGTAATTATGGATTCATATTCTTCTTATTATTTTTTTTAGCAGTAGTAGTTATTATAATAGTAGTAGTAATAGTAGCAGTAGAGATTTCATTTGCAGCAAATGAGCAACAAGGACTGTTTGCCTAACATGTCAGTTGTTGCTTTACTTCTATTATGCTGTTAGGAGGTTTGCAATCAAAATTCTTGAAGACCTCTGAGCCTGTCAACAGACACAGCTTTAAGAATACTGTATTTTTGATAGAGAGATTTAGGAATCCATATTCCTGTTTTACTTTTAATGCTTTCCTTCATCCCTGCAAACCGATCTGTCAAAAATCTATTCCGCAGTACTTATTTTCTGGGAATTGATTCTTGTCAGGTCTTAATACTGATAAAGGTTTGTGAAGGTGTTTTCCAAAAATAAAAAAATATATAGTTAGCATTCTTCTAATAGGGCCAGGAAATACATTTCATGTGAAATCTCTCAGCCTTCAGCTTTTCTCAGGAATAGCAGATAACTAGACTACTTACTGATTTAGCAAGGTTGACCTCTTCCATCACCTGAGTCAAACATTTTCTGCCACATGTTTAAAGTGGACCTGTAGTTGTGCCTATTCAGTTTCATCAGAAAGAGCACCTAAACATTACCCAAGAGCCCTGCAATGATTTATTGGTTCAGTAAATGACCATGGAAAGGACAACAAACATGCATTCAAATGAACGTTCATTGCTGATTTATTGTATCACTGATTCTGATCATATCTGACTTTTCACAAAGAAAGCAATCAAACCCTTGTGATTGTGCCACTTCTGCGTTCCTAAACCATGTCATTGTACTTAAGCCCTGGAGAAGAGGGAAATCTGTGGACCTCAAAGTGTGTTGGTTGTTGGACTCTTGTTTCATGGTGCTGTTTTGGTGCAACTCTATGTAGACTAATTATGGTGACCCCTATTTTTTTGGAGAGCAGCCAAACCCAAGCCTTTCAGCTACACTAAGGACTTCATTTCTACTGGTAAAGAATCCATATCCAGCTCCTGACTCTCATCTTATCTTGAATTTCTGTAGTTGTGCTTGTTTACATGTCTACAAATGTTGAACGTATCAATAAGCAGGAAAAAACACAGATAGATAGATAGATTAACCTGCACATTTAAACTATGGGAAAGCTTTCTAGAAGTAAATGCTTGAGGCCACCTATGCATTTTCATGGAAATAAAGGCGACCTCAGCAGATGTGGGCAGTATGGAGCAGCTATTTTCAGAAGAAAGTCATCTCTGAGTGGGGCTGCACAGTAAAAAATGCTGGTTTGGGACTGATGATAGGTATTTCACCTAGCGGTATGCACTACCCAAAGGGATGGGGGAACTTATTACAGCAAAAATTGTACAAAGCTACAGTTTTGCTTCAAAAAAGAATATATGTCCTTAAAGAGTAAATCAGAAATAGGTAGACCATCACCATGCCACACCCATAAACGATATATATATTATAATTAGGAACTATGTTACCAAAAAAGAAAGTGGGATTTTATCTGCACAACATGAGGCAACTTCACAAATATGTATATTTTTATTTCCACGTAGAAAAAAACTTTTTCCATAAAAACATTGCAACACCTAACTCAATACAGTATGTTCAGTATGGCTGTCACCCATCCCTGAGATGGAGTAAAAAAAACTAGGTCACCAGATATCATGTATATCAATACTATAGAATTAAATGAGTAACTTAGTGTAGTGTGATGTTTTTCAGGTCACTTCCAGAGGCCTCTGCATACTCAGAAGATCAATGCGTTTCAACAAAGTTTGCAAAGTTGACCTTCTGAGTATGGAGATGCCACTGGCAGTGACATGAAAAACATCACACTACAGTAAGTTACTCATTTAATTCTATAGTATTGATATACATGATATATGGTTGCCTAGTGTTAGACTCCATCTCAGGGCTGGGTGACAGCCATCCTAGACATACTGTATTGAGTTACATTTTGCAGTGTTCTTATGGAAATAATTTTTTAACTATGTGGAAATAAAAATATACATATTTATAAAGTTGCCTCATGTTGTGCCAATAAATTCCCGCTTTCCTTTTCGTAACATAGTTACAAATTATAATATATATAATATAATAATAACATATAAAGAGAGAGTAAATCCACTTTTGTTGAGAAAAAACATTCTTTTTTCTATGTATATTGCAAGGATCTTAATAAACTGTTGCAGATACCTACCTTTTGTTATTCTGAATAAATTACTGTTTGATTGTCTGTGTCCATGTGCAAGTGAATCTGTATGGGAGTGGTTTTAAAATGATCAGCCAGCTGCTGCACCTGCAGAGCACTGATGAGCAAAAGTTACAAGGCCTGCATCCCTTTAGGCCCCTTTTACACTGACAGTTAATTGGGTAAGCCTTTCAGTTTTTCAGGTGGACCTGATCAGACCATCCATATCTCTATATGGAGTGGCAGGTGTCAGCGGACATATGTCCACTGACACCTGTCGGCATCCAATCCGATCCTGTATGATAAAAACAGACAGATGGTGATCTGTTCCCCATCCATCTGGTGGATCAGATGACAGTCGGATGGAAACGGACAAGCGGCTGTGTACACAGACCTGTCATCCGCCTGTTCCACGGGGATCAGCAGAGAGATCCCCCGCTGAGCAGGCAGATCTGCTTGATGGAGCCTGCCCCGTCTGAAAGGGGCCTTAGATGTGATTTCCCTTTGGGAGTATCTCACCATAAATGACATTTTTGTTGCAGGGGATGCTCAAAATCTAAATTGTATCTTAGTACAGACTTCTGCGAAAATTAGTGAGCCAATCACACAAGCAGGAAATTACATATCTGAGGGACATTCTGTACACTGTCTGTGTGCAGAATGCCTCCAGTTTTGCCATATTGCATTGCATTTTACAGAAAATGCTGCAGATTACAAAGGAAAGGTCATTTTTTAGTAACATTCAATTACAGTATAACTTTTGTCGCAATTGTATACACTATATTATTATAATTTTTATGTTATTCACTATTATTTTCCCACGAAAGTGGTGTTAACCTTTAACCACTTGCTCTCCTGAGGATTTACCCCCCTTCATAACCAGCCCATTTTTTGTGTTACTGCGCTGCGTTTCTTTAACTGAAAATTGCACAGTCATACAACACTGCACCCAAATGAAATTTAAATCCTCTTTTTCCCACAAATTGAGCTTTCTTTCAGTGGTATTTGATCACCTGTGCGGTTTTTAGCGCTATAAGCAAAAAAAGACTGACAATTTAAAAAAAAAAACTATATTTTGGACATTTTGCTATTAAACACGTCCAATAAAAAAAATTAAAAACTCAAATTTCATCATAAAATGTATTCTGCTACATGTCTTTGCTAAAAAAAAAAAATCCCAATACGTGTAAATTAATTGGTTTACATGAAGGTTATAGTGTTTACAAATTGCGATATAGATAATGGGATTTTTTGTCTACTAGTAATGGCGGTGATCAGCAACTTTTACCAGGACTGTGGGCTATGGCGGACATTCTGACACTGGGGGGGAAACTAACGTGGTGTCACTGACACCCCAGTGACACCAATACAGTGATCAGTGCTAAAAAAAAAAAGCACTGTCAATGTATAATGGCACTGGGCAGGAAGGGGTTAATGTGAGGGGTGACCAAAGGGTTAACTGTGTGCTGGGAGTGTTTTACTAGGGGGTGGGGGTGTGTTCTTCCCTGTAAGCACATTGATCGGGATGGCTGTACTGTGCACAGCCATCCCGAGCAGTGTGCTCGAGCTGACAGGGAGGAAGATTGTTTGTAAACAAAGCAATATTCCACCCCATCGGACCGGGCGCCAGCAGGTAATCATCGGCTGGGACCCAGTGATTGACATCCGCGTCCGCGAACAGCAGTGCGGGTAGGACGTGTGTGCAGCTCGCATGCACCCCCTACCCGGAAATGCAGAATGACGTATATATACATGATCCTGCTCACAGGTCCCACCCTGTAGCAGTATATCTGCTATAGGGCAGTCCTTAAGCAGTTAAATAACTAAAATGATGTCTGATTACTTATGTAGGATTTATACTGTACATGCCACCTTGATTTATTTTTTTTATATCTGTTTGATAAGTAAAATAATGTTTTATCTTGTCAGAAATTCAGAATTGTCCTGTGCATACTTCCTGCTCTCATTTCTTATCTTGGACTAAAAAAAACAGTGCCTTTAAACCCCCTGGCGGTATTCCCGAGTGTAGCTCGGGGTAAAGTTTCAGTACCACAAGCGGTAACCCCGAGCTACACTCGGGAATACCGTGCGGCGCTGCTCAGGGATCCCTCGATCACTTACCTTGTCCTGTGCTCCCGCGATGTCCCTCCTGCAGTGTCCCCTGTAATGTCCTCCGGCGGATTTGTCATCTGGGTTCCGTCCCCTGCGACGTCGGGACGTACGGGGACGGAACGGCGGGAAATTTTAAAATGACAAAAAGTGACATTCACTAAATACACTAAAATAACATAGTAAAACATTACTGTATCAAACCATTTCACATACATTTTGTCCCCAGTGCTTTGTCCTGTGCCCTGCCTGCATTTTTACTGTTCTTTCTGCCTGGAAACTGAGAAACGTCCATGGCGTCCAAAAAAGCGTCCCTTTAGATCAAAAGCGGTTTTAGACCAGCTAGAGAACAGCGATAGTAAATCAGAACCATTTGCAGAATTGAGTGATAATGACTCGTGGGGAAATTCGTAATCGGACACCGAAAACAATTTTGCGACTTTGCTCAGTGATGTGCGAACTTGGCGCTCAATTTCAAATTTCAGTGTTTTTGGTTTGATTATATTATTGAATTAAATTTATTATATTATTATTTTTTATGATTATTTATTAAATTATAATTTATGATTTCATGTTTCAAATTGTAACATACCCAGGATATTTACTAGACTCTTGTTCGAATAGATTTCAATGAGTTATTCCTAAAAATTACAGGCCTACAATAAAAAAAATACATATTTCCATGCAAAAAAATGTACCGCTTTGAGCACAGAAATACTGACATAATCAGACCGCTAGGGAGGTTAATTATGGAGATGAGAAAAGAGGAACGGATTCCAGTAGTTTAACAATTAAGATTAACCATTAATCTTTGCATGTGCTGAGTTTCTTTACTGTGTTTACCAAAGAATGAGCTCATGAAATAGATTGTGTTTTAGAAAAGGCAGGTGATAGACTACAGACATCACTCTCCAGGTAACCTATGACCCCGGCAGATTAAAGCTGGAAAAGGGAGCAAATAAAAATATTTCCTAAATAGACTTGCATAGTCATTAGAATTTAAGACTAAAACTTTACATTCAAATCTTTGCAAAAGCCCAATCAGGGCAGGTTCTCTTTCGGGTTAGCCCGCAATATGGAACCAAACTGTAAGGCTATTGGCAGTAAACAAAAATTTCCAGTGACCTGTATCTCAAGGAGAGACAATGGAAAGAACAATAGCTATAATAAGCAGGATTTGCTTGGCTACACGCCTACATATACCGGAGTTTGACAATTGAAACTACATGAACATGGTAATTGTACAAATAAAGACATTGTGACGCATAGCACAAATGCAAAATAATACACTAACAAATTGTAACAGAACCTGCTACACTGGGAATATATTCATTGAAAACAATGAAGGATACATAGTATAGAAAATTAAAAAAAAAAAAAATCACCTTTGTATTACATTTTCTATGACATATTGTTGCACATTTTCCACACAGTTGTGCTTTTTAACCTTTTGTCACCCTTTCCTAGATCATTCAATTTCTGTGTCCTCTGTCTGTATTGTTTTTACCTCCGTAAGTTATATGTTCACAAGAGGAACCTATAAAAGTACAGCAGAAGAGGGCGACTGGAATCAGCCTAATGTAGATGTACTGTATGTAAAGCCAATCACTAAAATATCAAACAAGATTTAACATTTTATTGTAAATAAAAAGTCATTTTCAATCCTCTTAAATATGCTGCTTTTAAATAAAATAATACCTTGTGATTCTATCATAAAGGACCTTGTTCAAGCCTCTCCTGTAGTAGAGTGATAACACCCTGTCCCTGTCGTCTGTGTTGTGAATCTGCCCCATGACCATCTGATGGAAACTACAAGAGTCCATGCCAATGCAGATAAGGTAACCACTTTACAACCACCAGTAAATTGGCCAGTTCTGGTAGGGCATCATATGACGTCCTCCCAGAACGTGCCCCCCCCCCACACACACACACACACCCCCTGCAGCGTGCGCCTGGCACTGTCAGTGATCGCTGTGTCATACAAACACAGCTGATCACATGACTATGTAAAAGGCCAATCACAGTGGCCTTTTACCACGTGATCAGTTGTGTCCAATGACACAGCAGAACACAAAGTAAATACAGTTGCCGGTTATCGACAGCACTTTCCTCATGATGTCACAGAGTGAGGAAAGTACTGGCAATAATCGGCAAATGTCACAGAGGACATCTACACGGATATTCAGGCACTGATTATCAGTGCCATGATTATCAGTGCCCAGCAGTGCCACCCACCAGTGCCACCCATCAGTACCCAGCAGTGCCTCCCACCAATGCCCATCAGTGCCACCCACCAGTGCCCAGCAGTTCTACCCATCAGTGCCCAGCAGTGCCACCCATCGGTCGTGCCCAGCAGTTGTGCCCATCAGTGACCTGCAGTTGTGCCCACCGGGGAACTTTTACCTCCTTCCCAGGCCAATTTTCAGCTTTCAGTCATGTCACACTTTGAATGACAATTGTGCAGTCATGCAACACTGTACCTAAACAAAATTTTTATCATTTTTTTGAGACAGATAGAGCTTTCTTTTGGTGGTATTTAATCACCCCTGGGTTTTTTTTTTTTGCTAAACTAAAAAAAGACTGAAAATTTTGAAAAAAGTTTTTTCTTAGTTTCTGTTGTAAATTGTAAATAAGTAATTTTTCTCCTTCATTGATGTGCGCTAATGAGGCTGCAGTGATGGGCACTGATAGGGTGTACTGATGGGCACTGAAAGGAAGCACTGATGAGGAGGCACTGACAGACATCACTGACGGGCACTGACAGGCATCACTGATGGGCACAGAAAGGCAGCACTCATCTATGGCACTGATAGGTGGCACTGATGGGCACTGATAGGCGGCACTGACTGGCACTGATAGTTGGCACTGAAATGCAGCTCTGATGGGTACTGATATGTGGAATTGATGTGCACTGATATGTGGCATTGATGTGCACTGATGTGCATTGGCATGTGGCATTGATGGGCACTGACAGGTGACAATTATGGGCACTGACAGGTTTCACTGATGGGGCTACACTGATCATCAGGGCACTGATGATCAGTGCCCTGATGATCAGTGTACATATCCCGTCTGAGGAATGCCGCTTACCGGCTCTCCGCTCCTCATGCGCTGTCAGTGTGAGGAGAGGACTGCGGATAACCAGCATTTCCTGTTCACATGTGATCAACTGTGTTTGGACACATCTGTTCACATGAAAGAGCCTATGTCATCAGCTCTTTACTGCGGTCAGTGATCCGCTGTTTTCCAGGGACACAGCGCATCACCAATTTCCACGCCGTGCGCCTCCGAGGGCACGCATGCGCGCTCAGCTAGAGTGAGAGGCTGTCATATGACATCCTCCCAGAATAAGAAAGCCACCGCCCGCCCATCATTTCCTTATATGGCGGCAGGAGGTGGTTAATAAATCAACCCCCATGTGCTTCGGAATTCCGAACTGTGTTGTCATGTCAAAGAGAAGGTAAGGAGCATACTATATTTGCAGTACAGCAACAATTATTTTTGCAGTACTTCCAGTATGTTTATAGGGAAAAAACATGGGGAAATGGGCATTTATGTACTTCATATACTTGAGCTGTACTAAATATGTATTTGTTTGTTTGTTTTTTCGCCTTGACACATACTTTAAATGTAAAGTTGCCTTGTGCAATTATTCTATTGGACATTGAGATTTGTCCTGAATAAACCCTGAAATAATGTTAACATGGTCTCTTCTTGGACGCAGCTGATAAGGTGTATATGCTCTCCTTTCCATAAAACAGCACAAACAGCTGTTCCCTGGAGAGGCACAAAGGGAGGGGGGGGAGTAATAATGAGATAGATGGCCACTGACAGTCTAAGAATTTTCTTTGCCACACTAAGCAAACAAAACTCTCTACACAAAATGAAATGGAAGAAACTGCCCAGAGAAAAGTAAGCAGGGAAAATAAGCAAGGATCACATTCATGGGATACAAGTCAGAAGATAAAGAAACAAATTAATAATATACACTTTGTTATAAATACTAATTTAACTAGACGAGGAAGCTTCTAATTAGAAGGGATTTGTTGTTTTCCACAGGGACTGGGATTACTTAAAGATAAGTAAACTGCCTATTACGGATGGTGCCAGGATTCTCCTATCGATGTAGCATTCTAAATACACTGTCAGAAATCATCTGTCACATTATCACAATGTCATTTCTCCTCTATGATTGCTTGAAATAATAGGGAAGCTGGTGTCTTGCTATATGCTGGGGAAGGAAGATTGATCTTTTCTCAGTGTCATTAAATTCCCAGTGACATCAGTGGAACTTTTATGATAGAGGTCCATATCATGTCTTCAGAAAAGACAAAGATAAATTGATTACGGAAGAAGAACAGAAAGGAAAACATGGGGACATAAATATGAGTATATGTGGGGCCCAGAAAACAGGAGTCAATATCAACCCTATATTCATGTGTAAATATCAAATCATCAATTCCAATCAGAGTCTATTTCACTTGGGTTGGTTTATTAAAGGAGTGAATTCACTTCAATTATTCAATTATTGTTAAACAAAAAAAAATACTTTGCCATATTGGGTATTCAAAGTAAACATTTGGTTTGTTTGGCTAAATGAAAAATGTACCGCATTAGTATATCTCCCCAATAATGTAAATGAACAGTGGATTTACAACTAAGAGAGGTGGAAGGAGCAACCAGCATAAGCATCCAGTCAGATATATTGCAATGTACAAATTTTGCTGACATGAGGGTAGAACAGGATGGTCAGCACAGGGGCTAAGTGGTTAGCACCTCTGCCTAGTAGCACTAGGTTTGTCAGTTTGAATCCCAACCATAGCACTATCTGCCTAGAGTTTGCATGTTCTCCTTGTGTTCTTCTCTGGGTACTCCGGTTTCCTCCCACATTCTGGGATGGTAAATTACTTGACCCTAGTATGTGTATGTAGGAATGTCAGTTAGGGACCTTGGATTGTTAGCTCCTTGAGGGTTAGGGACTGATGTGAATGTAAATTGAAGAGATTGATAGATAAGCCCATTAGTGTGCTCTTTCTAATTTCACTGTCTGCTTACAGTACATGGTGAGAAGGAGACATGTAATTAGAAGTGCGAGGCAGGCAGGACTGTGTGATGTGTAACAAAGTTGTATAAATTCCAGGACTGGATAAACAGAAATACAAATGCTTTGTCAGGTAAAGCAGCTCCTTTTTCATCACTGAAGTTAGCTGTTTTTCTGGAGATCAGCTTTAATGTTTGTTAAATTGCTTATGGTACTATGTGCCATTACGTACGTTTTAAAAGACACCATTCAGTTTACTTGAACGTGGCAAAACACAAAAAATCAGCATGCATATTTTTTCCCTAAAGAAATAAAAAAGATGGTTGTACAAAGTGCCGGATCTAAATGTAGATTAATCTTACAGTCAACATATGTACCATGCTGAGGTGTACGAAGGCTCTGGTTGGCAGTTCATTGACAAAAAAGGTCCTCTAGGGGGTGCTTCAGTTGACATGCAATAGGTACAGCAAGACCCAGGAGCACCAGACTAAATATTGAGAGACCATAAACAGTTTAGTTTACCACTGGACATCAAAAGAACAAGTCAAGGATCTTGAGGTTCAAATGGGCCCCTTCATATGGGTTTAAAAATTGATGGCAAGAATCTAGATTGGGCTTGAATGAGACAAAAAATAAACATTAAATTCTCTGTATCAAAAGCAGGCTTCAGAAGCTTTTTTAGTCAAAGCAGTGGGTTGATGGGAATGGGTGCTATTGGAAGCAATGGGGTTGTTTAGCTAAATTTGTAGAGAATGATCACAAGTCAATAACCCAACCATTTGTAGAAGAATTAATGAAAACACAGGATTATGCAATGCACAACTGATAACTGAAATGAACAGAGTTTTACTTTGTTCACTAAGCTAAATAGATGACCTTTATATCTTTAAGCTGAATTCACACCTATGTGCTTGCTTTCATGTAAATAATGAACCTGTACTGTAAGTCAATGCACCTGATTGCTGTACACTGCTTTGCCCAGAACTTCAGAAGAAAACGAAAAAGAATACATGGAGTGCCAGTTCAAAGGAACTCCCCCTTCATCAGGGCTACAACGAAAAATAATATCATGTAAATATAATTGTGACTGAGCCTCTTGGATTCCCTTTTGTTCACTGGAGTTGTCCAAAAGTGCAGCCATATTTGTATTTTTATTCATGTGTTGAGGTTTGTCTTAGAGAGCTTTAACACAACACTCATCAACCCATGAGAAGAAAGCACAATAATGAACAGATACGTTTGAATAGAGCCTTAGTAAATCAAACTGGTTTAAAAATATGCCTATTGTCTGGGTCAGAAAAACCCAGCAATAGTCATGACAATGTCACTAGTGTGAACAATACCGAAGAGTGCCCAGAAAGTCCATCCCTACAAACATCTTAACTGTAACTTTCCATGAATATCAAATCTCCCCCAACAATGGTTTTCATGTTGCTGCTTGCCAAATGTGCTGGTTACTTGAATGGTTTTACACCAACTATTCCTCCCTGTTTACACTTCGAAGGATTGTGTGAAAAGACTTTTCTACTGTCCTCCATTTCTTATCAGGTTGAAGAAGAGGCCTTGTGCTTGGAAAGCTTGATGTAATTTCCAGCACAGATAGTCATTATAGGTATACCTCTCAGTTATTTAAACTGAAGGTACGACTCTGGATCTATGCCACACCTAACATAAAAACATTTCTGTTAACATGATTACACTACTATGAAAACAGGTAAAAATTGTTTCATGATCTAATAATAACAAGAAAAAGACTTGGTGGATCTCTATGTGTGATTTTAGATGAATTGCGAGATTATATTAAAACACAGTGGCAGAATGTAGTAATTAAGAATGATTCTTAGCTCAAGGTACAAAAGAAGATTGGTTTAATGAAAGTACTTAAGAATTTCAGACAATATCACACATTTTTGTAGAAGTAAATCCAGGCATTATTATATCTTTTTAAATGAACTTTAATCTTAAAGGGGATCTTTCACAAGCAAAGGTGTACATAGAAATGAAATAATTCACTAAGTAAAAAAGGTTTTTACATTGAGTCTATAGAGTCCAGATTAGTGTTACAATGTAATATAAGGATTGTTCTATGTTCAATCATGTTAAATAAATTTAACCAGTACCTGAACATCATGAAATTGAAATAGTAAAAGTATTGGGCTGATTTACTTAAAGTGAAAGATATAGCTAACACTAACTATTCTTAACCGCTTTCCCGCCGCCCTAGAGCAGATATACTGCTACAGGGCAGCAGGGGTGTGCAAAATCACGTATATATGTGATTTTGCATTTCAGGGTAGAAGACGCGCAAGAGCCACGCACGTGCCCTACCCGCGCCACTATCTGCGACCTCGGCTGTCAATCACTGGGTCCTGGTCAGTGATTACTCGCTGGCACCCAGTAATCACCGAGCATTACCGACAGGGGGAGTGAACTGTATGTAAACAATACAGTTTTCTCCCCTGTCAACTCCTGCACACTGCTTTGTATGCTATGTAGAGCCATAAAAAGCAGTGTGTTTACAGTGAAGCACACACACACAGCTTACAGTAAAATAGCACACAGTTAACCCTTTGATCACCCCACATGTTAACCCCTTCCTACCCAGTGCCATTAGTACAGTGTCAGTGCTTTTTATTAGCACTGATCACTGTATTGGTATCACTATTTGTCAGTGACACCAAGTCAGTTCCCCCCAGTGTCAAAAGTTGCTGATCACCGTAATTACTAGTACAAAAAAAAAAAATTCCCAGTATATATACCGCCATTTGTAAATGCTATAACGTTCATGTAAACCAATTAATTTACACATATTGTAATTTTTTTTAGCAAAGACATGTAGCAGAATACATGTTGGCCTAAATTTATGACGAAATTAGGTTTTTTAAAAAACGTTTACTGGACATGTTTAATAGCAAAAAGTCCAAAGTATTGTTTTTTTCTAAAAATTGACAGTCTTTTTTCTTTTTTATAGGGCAAAAAAAAAAAAATGCACAAGCGATCAAATACTACTGAAATAAAGGACATAAATTTCATTTGGGTACAGCATTGCATGCCTGAGCAATTATCAGTTAAAGTAACGCAGCGCCATAACGCAAAAAATGGCCTGGTCAGGAAGGGGAGTTAAATCCTCTGGAGGGCAAGTGGTTGAAAAGGTTTCCTCCCTCCTCCTACCTATCCTGCATACCCTGTATATAAACAAACTGTGTACTTACCTGTTTTTATTCCACTTTGGCTTGGTAACATGATCCTGCAGAGAGGGCCAAATGGCTGGGCCATGGGAGCCTATAGGGAATATCATGGCTCCCGGAATTGAGCGCCCCCTTATACAGGGTAGCCAGAAGTGCAGGATCATGTGACTGGACTGAAGCAGATTAAAATAATAGTAATTACCTAGATCTTTTTTTAGTGCAGGGTACACAGTATAAGTAGGAGGAGGAAAGAGGGAACATTAAATCGAATAATTATTATTCAATTTTACTATCACTTTAAGGAGTTGAGAATCTACACTATAATAAATTGTGAACATTCATGTCAATTATCCAATCAAGTGAAAAGCAATTTCCTGGTTACTTATTTTGCAAATGATTGGGTATTCAAAGTGGACAGAAATTTGGTTTTCACATGGCTGGATAAATGAAGAGGATATCCAAACAATTTATTGTGTGAAGATTTTCAACTCCTTAAGCTAATTAGCCTGAATTTACACATTTTCTCAGTCTGCTCTACAGCAAAATAATCTTATTTCAGATGAGACAGACTCACTTTAATTTTTGGTATTCACATACTTGTAAACAACTTGAAGACCCGGCCTATTCTGACACTTTTTCTTTACATGTAAAAAATTTTTTTGCTACGAATTTTGTTAGAACCCCAAACATTATATATATTTTTAAGCACCTTAATTAATTTTGATTTACAAAACACACTATAATACCCAATTGTATTGTAAAATATAAAAAGATGATGGCACGCTGAGTAAATAAATGCCTAACATGCCATGCTTTAAAACTGTGCACGCTCGTGGAATGGCACGAAACTATGGTACTTAAAAATCCCAACAGGTGACTCTTTAAACGTCTTTACAGGTTACTCATCAGAGGCTGAAAAAACAATACCGGGATCATACCTGCAGCTGCAGGCATCATCCCAGTATAACCACTTAAACCTGGTGGCATACATGTACATTACCCAGTCTTAAAGTGGTTAAAGTGTATGTCCAGCTACAATATTTTTTTTTAGATAAAATAAGAAAGGTTTAGAAAGGTTTAGAAACTCTGCTAGATTTTCACATCTACTGGAGCTTCATTTGAGAAAACCTTCTCTACTTTCTGTCCCTAAGAAAGCAGCTTTACCAGATAAGGAGCCAAAATGGGCCCTACCCTTCTCCTACCCTGCTAAAAGTGCTTTCATTTCTGTCTGTGTTGCTTTTAGAAATCTACCCTGATTTCCTGATTTTGGTGAAACCATTGTCACCAGAACAGGAAGCGTGGAGAATTCTCTCTAACAAAGTTTTGGGTAGATGTGCAATAGACAGAGCTTCTAAACCTTTCCTACACTATCTAAAAAGAAAAACAAAAGTTTTTACAACACATACACTTTACGGATATTGTTTAAATAGCAGTAATATAAAGTGATCTCCAGTCTCAGGGAAGTGGACTTACATGACTTGAGTTGCTTGTGTAAAGTAAAAATGAGCATTCTTTTTGCAAAGTGAACAATTTCTACTACTTTAGTTAATTCTAAAAATTAATTCATATGGTTTCCAACATAACTGGTTTCTAACCATAATTATTTTCCATAATAGGTTTTCAAAATATGGTTATCAAAATAATTACTAAAGGAGTTAAGAACTTTCACAAAATAAATGTTGTAAATAGTCACTTCAATTATCCAATCATGTACAGATGAAATAAATATAAAAATAGGAGTTTTCTTTAACATGACTTCAACCTGATAATTCAAGTGACTATTCTGAACTCCTTTAGTAAATTAGCCTTATCATCTATACACTACATCTGCATATTGTCTGTCTATCTATCTATCTATCTATCTATCTATCTATCTATCTATCTATCTATCTATCAATCTATCTATCTATTTGTCTTTCTATACGTATCAGTCAATCGTGTTTTCCTAGCCATCAGATAATTATCCAGTGCATTAAATGGCATACCAAATAAAAATGTAGCCAGGAAGGTTAAAGCACAGTACAAAAGAGAGGTAAACTAAAGTATAGCAAAGCAAAAAGATACAATTGTTTCTTGACAGGCCAGGCACAAAATAATAAGGCTGGAGGGGGAGGAAAATACGAGGCTGATAGAACTGAGCCAAAGACACTCAAGGGTATGTTTGAAAAGTATAATATTAGGCAAAAGGCAATATGTTGTTGAATGACAAAAAATGAGTGACACTTAAAGGTATTTCAATGGAAGCACAGAGGTCTAGAGGAAGAGGTAAGGTAGAGTGTCCTTGGTTTGTGAAATGAGTATGGATGAAGTGCATGTTATTTTGTATGATATGCATTAGGTCATTGACCACCTCACTTAATAGTATCTCAGAAGACTGTTTAGATGGAAAGTCATACAAGGTAACTGAGACATGAAACCCGAGTGATATTCTTATGCAGAGGTCTAAAAACAGAACATCTATAATAGAGGCATTTGTTATCTGAACCCACTAGGACAACACAAGGTTTATGATGCATTTATGAAACTGAGCCATGTTTAACTAAGCATATATTTAAAAAAAATGCTGAACTTCATAAATAAAGGAATAAATGAAAGCTTTTAAAGTAAACATTGAAGACGACAATGACTATGCGCATGAGAATAAGAAAAATATGCATCACACATATTAACCACTTGCTAGCAAGTGATAGCTGCAGGCTCATCGATGTACCTGAATGTTGCTGAGAACATGCACACTAGTGCTTCGTGAGATGGTGTTGGAACTTTCACAGAGTTGATGATGTCATCACCTCTAACATGTGACAGTAATTGTTCCTGACAAAATATTACAGAAAGGGGTCACATGCATCCCCATAGCAAGCAATATCGGGTATATTGTGCCATCTACAATAGGACAAGGAGGGTTGAGAAGTGCTGCAAAGGTATGTAAAGTAGATCAAAAGGTGGACTAGGAACAAGCTCACTTTTCCCGGAATGAGAAAGTGAGAGCCTCTTAAAACCTTTTCTATCCAAACTATAGAATTATTTAGGCTTGTAGTCAAGAGGTCAGGTAGCAGGCTGGTCTTTTCCTCAGCCTTCACTCCATTTGATTGAAGGTGTTGGGAGGTGATGTAGTGATCATGTGTTTACTAAATCACTCTCCCTTTTACTTAGCATCAAATTAGCAGGCATGAGACCACTCTGTTGATGCTAACACTTGAGGGAACCTAGCATAGTACTAAAGCATTCTTTGCTATGGGTGCTGGCCTCTGCATCTTCCTGGTGGTGTGGGGAACCTTTGTTTGATCACCCGCCATGTTAGAATTGAAGACTCAAAGTCTGAGTTTGTATCTGCTGTTAAATTTTCTTAGGCCCCATTCACATAAAGCAATTTGAGATTCCAAATCATGGCAGAACATGCAACGCTCTTTTGGATGCCATTATTCTTAATGACACCCTAAACATGGTGCAATTCTGCCGTGATAGTTTTGCAACATAATATGCTGCTAAAAATTGCGCTGGGCTAGCTGCCCAAAAAAGAGCAGGAGCTTCTTTTGGGCAACAAATGCACATAAAGCAGCCCATTGAAGTGAATGGGCTGCCCTATGCGAGATATGTAAATAGTAGATTAAAATGTGTGAGCGGGAACACTTGTTCTTGCTATGTAATGTCTGAACGGGTAACACCCTACGGGTAACACCCATCTGGGTAACACCCTACGAGCGCAGTTCCTCCCTTTATACTGGACCCAATATTACAACGTAGCTGGAGTGGTACGGTGGAGTGAATGGGAGGCGGGCCTCCAGCTACGTTGTAATATTGGGTCCAGTATAAAGGGAGGAACTGCGCTCGTAGGGTGTTACCCAGATGAAGTCACGAGCAGACAGTGACGTAACGCGTAGGTACGCGAGTCCGTAGTTTCGGTGCGTGGTGACGCATTTCCGGCGTGAGACGCCATTTTGTCACACCCAAGAGGTCCCATTCACATGCAGTACACCCACACATCAGTGGGGAGGGAAGATTGTCTGCAATGTGAGTGTTAACCTTTTTTACTCTTTTGGAAATAAATTAAGTTGATTTAATACTACACTTAGAGAGTTTTCTTTGGCTCACTGGATTGGTGAGCTATTACCCTTCAGGACTTCCCTGACTGAATAGGGGCTTTTAGAACCCTGCAGAGGAGATCCAGGGAAGGAAGGAAGCTGCTGGCCTTTTCAAACTAAGGATCCAGGGTGATCCTGCAAGCCTGTTGGCCCTTCGGGGTCAGTAGGAGGAGAGAGTTTTCTTTGGCTCACTGGATTGGTGAGCTATTACCCTTCAGGACTGCCCTGACTGAATAGGGGCTTTTGGAACCCTGCAGAGGAGATCCAGGGAAGGAAGGAAGCTGCTGGCCTTTTCAAAATAAGGATCCAGGGTGATCCTGCAAGCCTGTTGGCCCTTCGGGGTCAGTAGGAGGAGGTGAGGGGGCAATCTAGCCATTTTCGGAAGGAGTTTGCACAGTCACGTTTTCATTCAATATCACAGTTGCACACCGCA